AGCAACATACTTCTCCACCTTCAGGGATGAATACAGTACGTTTCCCCGAAACGTTGGTATCTGTCGACGAATTTACATGGAATCACAACCCAGAGCAACAACATCGCCATATTTAAAGCCGTGAAAACCATAAACACTGCTCACAAATAACAAGAAAATCTTGAGTTAGTAGTCAGTTTTGTGGTATTATAAGAACTTGTTTTGTGATTATATTTTTTCTTATTCTTACTATGAATTTAAGTAAACAGCGTGGATAGAGGCGCAGTCGACGGAAAGCGGCGACGAAAATACTTTGAAATAATAAAGCATCCCCTGTTCTCGTGTTGAACGCGAACTTATTAAAAGATGGAGCGATCTCATCCAAGATTGCATTGAGTACGAATTCCATCATCTTATGAATAGCGTTCTGTTTACTCGGAACACTATTACTTTCTGTTTTCTTTGTGTGCACACGCCTCTGAAAATGCAAATAAATAGCCCTTTGAAACTAAAATGGAGTGTAATTAAATACCTTAAATGTCATAAAAGTGAGTTGCTTTTATTGGAATTCTTCCTCGCGTAGAAACAGTTTCTTTAGTTTTATACGTTCGCTCCTCTGTTAGACGATGGTGAATTCGCCTGCTGGTCTTAACATATAGGAGGATTCCCCACCGTCACATTGATTAAAAATTTATAAAACAGCTGTATAGAGTGATACATACATGTGTTTCTCTTCCAAGAAAATTTCAACCAATTTTTGTGATTTTTCGCTTAGTCCATTTGAGCTCATGCAGTCGCAGTGTTGGCCAAAACCAAATAATTCTATGTGATACAGTCCTTGTTGATAAGCTAATAGTCGTTCAGCTGGTGAAGAAATTCTTCGTTGTTTATGGAACCCCAAGGCCCTTTACTGTGTTTACAAGAATTTGCTACACAATCACAATCTATGTATTCCTTGAAGATACATTTTTATGTTATATTCCTGCGTATATGTCTTCTGAAGGGCGTCTTGTTTTCAGGTTGTCCAACGTTTTGTATGCATTTCAGGTCTACTATATGCCGTGCCTGTCTCATCCAGTTATTTGAACACCCTTCAAGTAATTCCCCAAAATTTAATCTGCCTTTGATTTATTTATGACTTAAATACCCACAGGGCCCATTTTATCACCTCATTTAAATATCTGTTTTGAAATACCTCTAAATGTTTGGTCATACTTTTATGTTTCAGTGTGACGGCGTTGGGATTCCCGTTGTCATGGCAGCGAGAGGGTCGCTCCTGCCGTGAGATGGCGTAGTGACGAGTGACGTCACTCGGACTGGGGGTCACGTGACACACGTGACGGTAGAGGAAGTGGGCTGGAGCCGTGGTGGCGCTGTTTCCTGGAGAACGGCTTACCACACCGCTATCCGGTACAGGTAAATTCGCGATTTCTGTTTACCTAGAAAAATTGTTGAGATTCTTGGAGAATGTCTGACGTCATTGTATCGAAAGCTCGAAATCGTATTTTTCAACACAACATGATTACATGTGCATTTCTGCGTTCCATCCCTCCTGCCCCTCAAGTATAGAAGTTGTGAGAAGTAAGTATTTGGTTGAAAAATGTGTGGATTTTTTTCTGATAGTGTCTAGATTTACGTGGGGCCAAAGATAGGCCCAGGCAGGCAGTAGGCGGCAAATGGGATATGACGATTCTGATTTGGGGGGGGGCAGTGGCTTAAAGAAAACAGTGCATTCACCCTGGATATGGCAACTTCAGTGTTTGCAAAAACGGATAACTTGAAGAATTTGTCGCGGTTCATTAAACTCCATCCGTAGAAACCTAAGAACAAGAATATGGTGATCTTTAGCCGTTTTGGCGAGTCTTTGGCAAAATTTGATGCACACGCCATTCCGAAATCGCAGGAGGGTCGGTGTAATGCACTACCAAAACGCCCGTAACTAAGAAACAAATGCTAATTCGATGATACCGGCTGGCACACTGATTCACTATGAATGTAGGCCGCACCCCCTAGCGGCAGAAGCTCGTACTACATCCGGTTCGCCCTCTATTGACACAGTCTGGAAACTTTCCGATCGCACCTCGTATAACTGTTTCGTCCACTGTTGATTCTTACTATGTCCAGACATTGTCGTTATCATTTCGTTTTCAAACATCATCTTCGTGTCGTTTTAAACGGCCTTGTAAGACAAGAGGTAAAATTATAGGTCTTTATCAGTCTATTGAACTGTGATAAGGCAAACAGCACAAAGTGTATTTTAAATAATGGTTACTTTATAAACTTCTGGTTAGTCGTTGAATTTTAGGACTCAGTTTTTTTAATAGAGTTTTAGTTGAGTTATAGGGTATCTGTAAGCAGAATTTGCGACGTGCTTTAAATGACTGCTGTGTAAAGTTTTGCATATCGATTCACACACGCTGTCTGCGGAACTATACTTTGGCCAGTTCCCATTCCCACGATCTGCGTTACCGCACATTCAGAATTAGGGGTGGAGGTATGTCTGTGGTTCCATAAAGCTTTAAATTAATTTAATGCGAATTTTGATCATTGAGCGTGACCCATGTCACCTTCCCCATAATTTTGTGGTGGTTAGTATCCCGAACAGCAGAAACAGCTCAGACCATCAGACACTGTCGCGTCGCACGGGAATCCTGGCATTAATCCCAGTCCAGTTCGTGTGGGACTTTGTGGGAGGGGGGGAGGCACACAGTGACGCCGAGGTAGACGTTCCTCTTAGTACTTTGGGGTTAACTTTGCCAGTCATCATTCCACCGACGCTCAGTACGTAGGCTACGCATTATCCGTCCTGGGTTTTGCTACTGTAACCAACTCTTAATTCGTCAGTGGCAGGGTAAAAGGGTATTATTATTGTTATTATTAAGTGTTCTGTCTTACGACAGGTCCATTGCTCTGCCCAAAAAGAGCTCTCCAGTTGTCCCTATTCTCGGCTTCTCGCTTTAATTCCTGGAACGTCATCTTCTTTCCTTGTATAAGTTCGTCGGTTAGCTGTATCAGTCTTCTTCCCAGTCCTCGCTTTCCTTCAACCTGGCCTTCGATGATATCACTCATTAATCCATTCCTTCTCATAATATGTCCCAGCCAGTTAGCTTTCCTTCGTGTAATCGCATGCAGAATGTTTCTTTGCTCGTTGACTCTCCTCAATACTTCTTCGTTGGTCACTCGATCCGTCCACCTGATCTTCTCCAACACCACATTTCAAAACTCTCCACGTATTTCTGTTCCTTCTTCCTGAGTGTCCAAGTCTCTGCTCCATACAGCGCGACACTCCATACGTAACACTTCACTAGTTTCATCTTCATCTCCAAGCCCAACTTGCTAGTGAGAAGTATCCTCTTCTTGACGAAAGCTGCCTTGGCCATGGCTATCCTCGCTTTTACTTCCTTGGTGCATAGGGCGTCCGTCGTGACTATGCTTCCCAAGTACTTGAAAAGCTCCACATTCTCCATCTGTTGGTTTCCAATTACAACGTTCAATGGTTCTGCTCTCGGTGCTATCCTCATTACCTTTGATTTTCCAATGTTGATTTCCATTCCATACTCTCTACCTGTCTCCACTAACTTGTCCATCATGTTCTGTAATTCCTCCTCCAGTATATCATAAAAATGGATTTTATGCATTACATTTTTGAAATGAGAACTGTTATAAAGAATGAATCCCTATCCGAATATGGGATATTCTTTCACATTTTTTTTATGAAGTATGGGAATAATAGTAGCATTAGGGTGGGAAGTGGTAGTTTCCCATCTAAGACTGAGATCAAGAATGCATGGGGCTCCGACTGCTTGTCATATCACTTTACGTTATGGTGTTTAAATACAATACCTGTGTTTGTTTAATATATACTATTTTTACAGAGAAGAATCAAAACAAGACAGTGATTTGGATGAGCCATGGATCATGACAGTTAAAGGCCCACACTCCATAAAACCACCTAACGATGAACCTCCAAACCATAAGATTCCTCAGAAGGTTCAGAATGGTTCAGGACCTCCACAAACAAAATCTCCTCCAAAAGATTCAAATCTAAACCATTACAGGAGTGAAAAGGCCACACCGGTTAGTAATAGGAAGCATGAAGACTTACATGTGAAGTTGCAAATATATCTTTAACTCTTTTGCTGCAAAGCTCACAATATTGTGAGGCATGTTTGCAGCCAGACTCTGTGGAACTTGAGTTATTGAAAGTTTAAACTTAGTTGGACTGCAGATCTCACATTTATGCACAACTCTTTATCCTGGAAGAGTAGGTAGGTCTCCCTTGACAACATGTAGAAGCTTTTGCTTATTTTATTTAAAAGCATAATTCAGATTTACTTACGCAGCCAAGATGTTTTTATGGCAAAAATTACGCAGTGAAGGAGTTAATTACAAATCATAAGTAGACTTGTCTTGAATATAGAATATAGGAAGGTATTGCTAATTTTAAAAATGTCAGTTTTCGGATTTTTTATGATTTGGAGGTTTTATAGGCATGAATTGCAATGTACGAAGCAGTGGAAGTAAAATTTATTTTTCTGAGCACTTTTAGGCTCTTGATATCTTTAGATATGTAACTTAAAACACTCCACAGGATTAAAAGTTCTTATTTCATGAAATGGAATACTTGTACTTGATCTCATGTACAGAAAGACAGTAATAAGACAGAGCCTATTTTAACTTTGACCTTCATAATTACAACTTTTACTGTCATAATAGATGATCAGAAATTTTTAGAGGAATGACAGACACTTTCGTATGAAACTCAGTGAAATATAGTGCCACTGCGAAGTTTATGTAATAACCACAAATACCATATTTATGTTAAAAAAAATTTCATATATGATGCCCATTTTTAAGAGTGAAAATCAGAATGTGATCATTGTGCTGTTAAATTGTAGTTTATATCCATTTTAAGTGAAGTTTAAATTTTTCATGGAATGATTGGTTTTATTGCATTCACAAGTCAATTTCTGAAAGGAGGTCTGTGTTCCAGTCACGACCCCACACAGCAGCTCCAGCAGCTCCCATCGTGGACAACCGTAAGGACAGAGACAGAGAACGAGAAAGGGAGACTAAGGAAGCTCATAGTAGGGAAAAACGTACTTCGAAGGAAATGGGTCCATTGGATCATCGGGGAGAGCTTGGAGAAAGCGGAGAGAAGAAACCTGTTCAGAGGGGCCGGGATGCCAACACAAATAGCAGTAGTAGCAGCAGCAAACCCAGCCACGTGCGGTCTCCGTGTCTGTCTGGTGTTATCTACCCTCTTATTTCAGAGGTGAGTTAGAAAGATGAAGATACTGTATTCAGTCTGGTACTGTCATTTTTTGTTTACATTGTTTTGATTTTCACTTTAATATGGTTACATGGTCAGTAACAGGCAGTATGATGGATGATGATGATGATGATGATGATGTATCATTAATAGAGAGTGATGTGTGTGTGTGTGTGTGTGTATATGCATGCAATTTTTGCATTATAGTAAGCTTCATAAGAAATGTGACTTCCCAAATAGATAAAATTTGAAACTTATTCTTTAGTACAATGTAAAATAGGTATTTTATAGTGGATTGAACATATTCATTTGAAAGTGTAAAGGTGCTTGAATTATGTCAGTATGTGCATACAAGAATAAGTTATAAACAAAATATTTTGGTTCACTGTAGCTTCAGAGACGGCATCTTTATAATGCCCGAGGTCCCGAGTCTTCCCATAAGACAGATGCAATTGAAGAGCTAAAGAATGCATTTGAATTAGCAGAACGTGCCAGTCCAGGAATCAGTGATTTGTTTGTGCGTGAAATGGTTCAGAAGTTGTTACCTGCAGTAACAGAGACTAGAATAAAAGGTGTTATGGACAAACTTACTAGGTGAGTACTGAATATTTTGTGCATAAAGTATTTATTTTAACAGTACATTCAGAGAAGGCACTATGATACATGCTGCTTTCCATGTGCATACATAAATATAAGTTAATAAGTATATATCCTACTTTTTTATATGTATATATATATATTTCTGTTCATGATTTTTGCTAATTGTATTTCCAGTACCTGTATGTTGCCAGACATAATCTTGTTTTTTTCATTTGTGCTAGAATTTCACATGTGGTGCAGTGGTTACTAGTATAAAATAAAAAACAGACATGGAGTTCACATAGTGTCCGTGTTGTTAATTCGTGTTATATATACACACACACAAAATGAAAGAAAAAATAATGTTATAATAGTTCCAGTATTTTTCAAAGATATGAACACATTTCAAGGCTATACATTGAATAGTATTTCTGTCACTCTCATCTCAGAAGTTGTCAGGGCCATAATATTAAAATCGTTGATGGTAGGGAATTAAAAACTTGAAGGTGAACTGGCCACTGATGATAATGAAAGTTACACGATAGTCAAACTTTTGGTTCAGAGTTATATATGCAGTGACATAAGTATATCTTTTCTCCTAAAATAAGGAAAAGACAAAGATTGAACATAGTGAATATCGAAGAAGGAATATCTCATGTTTGGTTTCCTTGTGTGGAATACTTCAGAGCCATATTAAATTAATTCAGAGAACTAATGTCTAAAGACTAGCACCATATCCACTGTATGACTTGTTGATCCATAAGAGTAATATGGGGACAGCACTGTAGCTGACTCAGCAATATTCAATTCATCCCATTTCTTATGTTTGCCAATTTCTGTTAAGATCTAAGACACTTCCAATAAATCGATAATCATCCAGGTTCTTCAACCTTCTAATCACCAAATGAATCAAGAAATTAATAGTACCAGCTGTGATATCAGTAGTGGACGTCAGTGTGAAGTAATGGATGTGTCCTCGACGCTGGGTATTTCGGTAACCATTGATAATTTGCAATTCAATCGTAAATACGAACGTTCAGTTTAAAGGAACTTTCATTGGACGAACTTATTCAGTCCATGGTCGCTTGTTTCCTCACCCACGTCCTAAAATATAAGTAGACTCCTATATATTTCTTTGTCATACACCACAGAAAGAAATCTACCGGGGCATGTCCAATGAATATGTTTATTTATTTTGATATTCGACAGCCGCGTTCCCATATCCACATTAATCCCGTAAAATATTAAGTTCGTCCAACGCGGATTCACGAAACGCGCCGATTTCGAGGAATGTATCCCCCGCGTTGGACGACGGTTTACTGTATAAGCCTGTGTATTATAACACTGCTCCCTTGTCAACTCTGTTGATAGTTCGAATCTGCCCTGACGTTGTGTCCGCTCAATAAATCGCTTTATTAATGTAAATTTCTCCTGCTCTAATATGAATGTACAGTAATTGCTGTGATCCAGGGTTTGGAAATTAGGGCCGTGGTAGAGGGTCCTATGTTTGAGCCCCTCAGCTATTAATTTGACGTAATCATTACAAGCCAGTGACATTTTGGATTTAGAAATGTGGGAAACTATGAAGTCGTAGTATTGCATCTTAAAGAAATGTTAGTTTGGCGTTTCTTAAACTCTTTGCTAGAGACAGGTTTTATACTACACTCGTATTTATTGTTTGTTAAGGTTCTTAATATTATTCTCCCATCTTCTCCTTGGTCTTCCAAGTGGTTTTTGTCCTTCTGCTTCCAAATACAAATTTTGTGTTTATTTTTCATCTCTTCCACATTATACAAACACCGACTGATGCTTTTTTGACGTGACTGTATATTATTTCCGACTTCGGAATTATTTTATATCTTGAACCGCGTTACCGAATTACGTATCATAATTATTACGTTGATATGTGATGAAACTACAGCAATATTCAACTTCAAACGTAGATCATATTAGTTTGACCGTGCGTAAACTTCTGTATCTACTGATTGTGTTTCTGAATGAAGTTGACGTTCGTGGCCGAGAGAACATCCAGCGGATTCAGGAGGATGTTTTGTCAGCCTCTTTATCTGTCCTGAGTCTGAGTCTTCACTATAATAAGCATTATCACGTGACTAGAATTGAATATTGGCAACAACACAGAAAATTCCCCGCCATAACTTACACCCGCCCTCTCTCCATTTGACAGTTCCGAAAATAGTAATAGCTTCCCGTTGGACAAAGTCGAGTTCGCGTCTTATATTCTGGAGCCTTCTGTGAGGTCTGCCTCTACTAGACTGAGTTTAAAACGAAATGGTAACTATCTGTGCGGCCTGATTTCATTGCCAATAACTCTACACTTTACCCATGGAATGGATTTATCGGTTTACTTATGATTCTCATAATACACACCGATTACTCCCTTAAACAGCACTGACTAGTTGATTTTTGTAATGGAGATTTATTGTAGGTCACTCTCAAGACCGTGTAGATTTATCTGCTTCCACGGGATTTGTCATGATTCTGTGTTTTTTTTCTACTCTACAGTTGGTCTCCATTTGTACGAAAAAAAGGATGTCCCAAAAATATATGCACACATATTAAGTGAATGAAATAAAGGCATTTTAATAAACTAAACTGTTACATATGTCATCATCGGCACTTAGTGAATTAGCTAATCTAGTGTAGGTGTTGAAAATGACCATTAGCTTCGTGGCATAGCTGACAGGGGTGAACAACTGACTCACAAGCATCCACCAAAGTTGATACCCTTTTTACATAATTTTGGGACAATCTGTATTCTCTACCTCTTAGTGTGCATGTCTTAGAGTTGTCATATCTTGAAAAAGCCTGTGGTAGATTGCTGTCTTGTGGGTTGTTGCGTCGGTAAACGTCTACAAGACTACACGGTGCTACAACCCAGAAGACAGCCATCGTCATACTCAAAGAAAAAAGAACCTACACTCTCGCCAAGTATTTACTTACTTGTATTCCTCAGTACGTTGTATTTCGACCAGCCATTGGGATTGAAAAGTGCCTGTCCTAGTTTCTGCATACGGAAACAGAATATGACAAGTTCTGCCCTGTAATTGTCCGGGAACAAGTTTTAATAAACAATTAAAGAGTCACATATTCCGTGTTCCTATTCAGCTGTATCCGTCCACAGAAAAAACCCTCTTTAAATTTCAGTGGCGTGTTTCCGTACATAAATAATTTACGCTGTACGTCGCTTACATACGTTCCCCTATTCTCATGTTCGTGTTCAGTTACACAGCAGCGAAAGTTAAACTACGTATGTTATTGGAAAAAAAAAAGAAAAAAGAAAAAAAGAATGTAACCCAAAAACAGTCACTTATTACAGTTCAAAAATTGACATCAAAAGCAGGTCCACTCCCGTGACTCTCCCAACCTCCCCCGTGATTCTAGTCAAGGTCACCCTTGTTACTAGGCCGCTGCTCACGCAAGTTGCGCAGAAGCTGTGCAAGTGCGAACATGGTGAATCCACGAGCAGAACGCGTGTACATTATCGAACGTTACTTCATATCGAAATTGTTTGCTCTGTTCGTGAGGCGTTTGGCAATGCGTACCAAATACTGTGATTGCTGTGGTTGTGATGTGATTTTACGTTGCGGGTGAGTCTAATTATACGCGCTTTCGCTGTCCGCGGTATTTCATATCAGGTTTTAATTAAATATCACGAGTAGCAGCAATGTCATATCCACGGCCACAGTGGAAGCTGTCGCGCGGGTCCACTTATTAATTAATTAATTCCCCACTATTTTAACTCCTGGGACTATGAATTGAGACCTCTTATGGTGTCTCCCTCGGTAAATTCATGGGCGTTTATTTTGTATGTTTCCTGATTTACGCTTTTTCGATATAAGCATGATTCGCAGCAACGCATTTATATGCTTCGCGTGGTTTTCTTTGCAAGCAAGGATTATTTCCTTACACAGCGTTAACAAGTTGATCTTTGTAAAAGTGAAGTGTGGTGGGGTTTTTTGCGGTACGGACTGAATTATTATTTATTATTTAGGCGAACTTCAACTTTAGCGCGTAGGACGGCCGTCTGCCTCCAGCAGTTACTCATTTTTTCATGTGTTTCTTCCGTGCTTTCATTTTACTCAGAAATATTTCATGCGCTTTTGACAAGCGCCGGTCGATAAGTCACAGTTGGACCTTACGTTACTGACGAAATGTAAGGCCAGGTCTTGGTTCCAGGACACAGTAGAACAGTTACAAATCAATATATTTAAAAAAAAAATATTGGTGAGGATTTGGTTTTCCGACCGTGGATGACAGAGTAATTTATTTCCTTTTATTTTCTGTGAGATGATAAAGTTGCGTCATATTGTGATAAATATATATTTGTTTAAATCTTGTCAGTCTAATCACAATAAAATTCCTATTAATATTAAAATATTACTATAATTAACATTTAAATATCTAAAATATATTAAATGATGTTCTCTATCGTGGTATGTTTCAAAATTAAATTATCAAATATATTATTTTATTTTCTATTTCTAATTTATTAATATTCATTAGTCTTTATATTATTTACTTTACAGGCTGATACAAAAACAACAACAAAACGTTCACCCACACAAAATCATGTTAAGCACGACGTACATATACAGAACAACTTCGAATACGATATTAAAATACAATAAAAATCTGGAAGAAAACATCATTTGAAATCTGATAAACATCTGACTAAAAGTTGCATTTAAGAAGTTATATGTAAGTTTATATAATTTTGTACACCTGAAGATGGTTCTTTTAGAACAGAAACATGTCGTGTAAAAAAAGTGATGATCTAATGTAAATCGAACATTTCGATAGAGAACATCATTTAATATATTTTAAATATTAGAATGTTAATTATAGTAATATTTTAATATTTAATAGGAATTTTATTGTGATTAGACTGACAAGATTTAAACAAATATTTATTTTCTGTGTTTTGAGTGTCTGAGGTGCGTAGTATAAAGCAAATTTGAAAAAGTGCACAGTACAGTGATTGTATACGACCCACATCCAAAACATAGGACGAAATGTTGAACTT